CAGCCACTGGGAACCCTGGCACACAACCAAGATCAGGGCTTTTTTCTTGTGAATCTATAGAGCACCCTTCTCAAACTTAAATTGCATCAGATTTATTTGGAGGTGGTGGTTCGTTTGATAAAGAATCTGCCTGCAATGCAGGAGACCTGGGTTGGATCCCTGGGTCAGGAAGATCCTTTAGAGAAGGAAATGGCAACCCACTCCTGTGTTCTTGCCTGGAGAATCCCATGGACAGAGCAGCCTGGCGGGCTACAGTCCACAGGGTCACAAAGAGTCGGATACGACTGACAACTAACACTGCGTGGCGGAGCCTTGCTGGGCTTCACTCCCAGAGCTCCTGATTCAGTGGGTCCAGGTGTGAACTGAGAGTCTGCATCCCTAACGCCTTCCCAGAAGATTCTGTTCCTGCCAGTCTGTGGTCACACTTTGAGACCCACCACGAAAGGGCACAGGACTTGGTCTTTAACCTCGGCCTCTCTGCAATCCCCCGCTGGCACAGGCAAGAAAAACAACAAATGAATACAAGGAGAACTGCATCCGTTTTGCCTGAGACGAAGCTGTCTGTGGTGACAGAAATCCTCATGGGGTCGTTTGAAGGGAAGTAATGGGAAGGGGAGAGTGTCTGGGGCACTTGTAATGTTCTGCTTCTTGGTCTGACTGGTACTTGACTCGAATGTGTTCCCTTTGTGAAAATACATTTAAGCTATCCACTATAATCTGTGCACTTTTCTGTCTATGTGCTGTACTTTAAAAGCTGGCTTAAGGGATTTCCCTGGTGGTCCAGTGGTTAAGACTACATGCTTCCAATGCAGGGGGTATGGGTTCAATCCCTGATCAGGGAACTAAGATCCCACATGTATCGAGGCCAAAAAAAAAAAAAAAAAGCTGACTTAAAAGTTAATAGTAAAGATAAATACTGTCAGAATCTGGGGAAAATGGGCCCCCTTCTCACTAGCCTTTCCCCTGGGTATGCTGGCAACTCAACAAAGAAATATTCTCTTTTTCACTGGCATTGTTTTTGCATGTGTGTGTGATTCCTGCCAAGTAACTGCTTCCCAAGCTGTCATTAAAAAAAAAAAAAAAAAAAAACAGGTCTTCAAAGGAAAATATTCTAAGAAAACGTTTGTGTGTTTTAAATTCCTAGAATAGTGGATATTGATAGAATAATTTAAAGAACGAGTCGAGCTCTCATTAATGCTTTCGGAGAATCCTAGTCTGCGCTTGGCTGGTCCACTTCAGGAAGAGCCAAACCTTTGGTGGTGGTGGTGGTTTAGTCACTAAGTTGTGTCTGACGCTTGCGACCCCGTGGACTGCAGCCTGCCAGGCTCCTCTGTCCATGGGATTTCCCAGGTAAGAATACTGGAGGGGGTTGCCATTTCCTTCTCCAAAAACTTTGGGAGGGAGGGAAAGAAAACTCACCATAGATTGACCAACCATTTCTCTGAAAATTGCCTGAGAGACTTGAGAGTATTTTTCTTCTTGGTAAGGACAAATGTCATTTTAAAAATACCCTGTTTCATCACAGGAAACCTTTGGATTCTTAGTAAGGAGACTTGTTTTGAAGATTTGTTACTGAAAAAAAAAAAGCTAATTATTGCTAAAACTCCTCTAGAGATATTTTACTTTTTAAATCCTTCTTTTTCTGTAATTAAAGTTTATGAGTAAAAAGGTTTACTCACTCTAAAAGGCAGGTTTCAAATGTAAATGAGGCAAGATTACATTGGGACTTCTGATTTTCAGGTGATCTGCAGAATTGTTGCTTTAAACTCAGGAGCTAAGGAGGACACTGTTGGGCATGTTTATTGGTGATGATCTCCTGGCGGAGTAAATGGCAACCCACTCCAGCATTCATGCCTGAAAAATCTCAAGGACGAGGGGCCTGGCAGCCTACAGTCCTTGGGGTCGCAGAGAGTCAGACACAGTTGAGAAGCTGAGCACGCAAGCGTGTTGGTGATGATGCCCTGGGACAGCTGTAGAACACAACAGATGCACCGTTATTAGATGCCATCCCGTCTAAAGGAGAGACAGGGTAACACAGTATTTAAATTCATGGCCTTCTAAGCCTTATCAACATGGGTTGAAACCGACATCACCAGCTTTCTGGCCTTGGGTCAGTTCTCTGTCCCTCCCAACTTGGTTGTTGTTCTGTCATGCCAAATTCTTTGAAACCCTACGGACTGTAGCCCGCCAGGCTCCTCTGCCCGTGGGTTTCTCCAGGCAAGAACACCGGAGTGGCTTGCTGTTTCCTCCTCCAGGGGATCTTCCTGACTCAGGAATCGAGCCCATATCTCTTGCATTCCCTGCATTAGCAGGCAGATTCTTTATTCCTGGGACACCTGGGAAGCCCCTTTAATTCTGTTATATGAAATGTGAGAGTGAAAGTCGCTCAGTTGTGTCTGACTCTTTGCGACCCCGTGGACTATAGAGTCCATGGGATTCTCCAGGCCAGAATACTGGAGTGGGTAGCCTGTCCCTTCGCCAGGGGGTCTTCCCGACCCAGGAATCGAACCAGGGTCTCCTGCATTGCAGGTGGATTCTTTACCAACTGAGCCACCAGGGAAGCCCATTGTATGAGATTAATAATAGCAATCATAGGACCGTTAGGAAAATTACAAAAAATAATATAAAAGGATTTAAATTTTTGCCTGATGCATAATAAAAACTCAGTGAATGTTACCACTATTATTGAGGGGTAAAAGGAAATTGATATGTGGATCATTTCATTCACTTCTGAAATTCCCCGTTCCTATGTCTTTCTAGTGCAAACAGTGGGATTTATTTGCCTGTATACATACATGTTTGAGTAAATAAAATGTATGTTTTTCTCTCTGCAATAAAATTACAGATGTGGGGAATGCTTGTTGGGGATGTGGGGTGGTGGGGGGAGGGCACTTGTGACTCCTGGGGGTGGCTGGGGGGAAAGCGTGTGGTTTCTGTTCTGTCCCCTGGTTTCAGTGGTGTTTACATGAATCTACACGTGGCAAATGGGGTCCAGCTATACACTTACATTGTGCCAGGGCCCCGGTTTTGATATCGTATTGTTGTTTAGTCACTAGGTTGGGTCTGACTCTTTTTTGACCCCATGGACTGTAGCCCACCAGGCTCCTCCATGGGGTTTCCCAGGCAAGAATACTGGAGTGGGTTGCGATTTCCTCCTCCAGAGGATCTTTCCCACCCAGGGATCAAACCCACATCTCTTGTTAGCAGGTGGACTCTTTACCACTGAGCCACCAGGGAAGCCCTGGTGTTATAATATATCACAGCTATGTAGATAGAACTATCAGAGTGAACAGTGGACAGAATGAGTGAATGAGTGAACTGCATGAATGAGTGAATGGAACTCACTCAGCGAATAGAACTATCAGAGTAACTGAGTGACTGGTGTGCTCGACTTCTTTGTCCTGATTTTGCAATGCTGTGTAAATCTGTAAGTGCTTCCCAATAAAAAATTAAAAAACCAAGAGCATCTGTCAAGAACTTCTGCCTTTACCATATAATTACAGTATGCAAATCTCACACTGAATCTCAGGTGATCCCACTGGAGTTCTTGCATAAACTTTGAAGTTTGACTTTAAATATAACTCTTTGGGAATTTCCTGGTGGTCCAGTGGTTAGGACTCCAAGCTTTCACCACCAGGGGGCTCAGGTTCGATCACTGGTCCAGTAACTAAAATCCCAAAAGCCTCCCAGTGCAGCTTAAAAAAACAAACAAACAAAAAAAACCCAAAACAACACTTTTCAGTGCATCTCTTTCCCCCCGTGACCTCACCCTCAGCCAGTTCACTCCTGCACTGCGCGTGTGCCCAGTTGCTCAGCCATGTCCGACTCTCTGTGACCCCATGGCCTGCGGCCCTCCAGGCTTCTCTGCCCATGGGCTTCTCCAGGCAAGGACACTGGAGTGGGTTGCCATGCCCTCCTCCAGGGGGTCTTCCTGACCCAGGGGTCCATCCTGCGTGCCCTCTTAGCAGGCAGATTCCTTATCACTGAGCCAGCTGGGAAGCCTGCATTACATGTGCACAAAGATGAAGAGGTAGGGAAAAGTGCCACGGACAGGATTCCTAAAGAATGTAAAACTTAGGTCATCTGTGATGCTAAGATATTCACAATTAATAATGAAGAGTAGAATTAAGCAGGTGGATAGGTATTTCAGTCTACATCCCACCAGCATCTGCTAGGACGTGAGCATATTGTTAAAGTCCTCTGGGGATGGAGAAGTAAGGCAGATTAATATCAGCTCACAGCTTGGAAGTCTTAATATGATGCTGCTAATAAGACACAGCTGAATAACAGGAAGACCAGGCATCCTTAATTTAGGTGACTGCGTAGCTGTGCCCTCAGTAGCTCAGCCAATGCCCAGACGCAGTCAATGTTTATGGATGAGTGGGTGAGTGAGTGGATGGATGGATGGATGGATGGATGATGGATGGATGGATGGATGGATAGATGGATGGATGGATGGATGGATGGATGGATGATGGGGCCATAAGATAAGCCATGCAAAAGAAGCTTAAAATGAAGAATTAGTTCACTTTAGTGGGGAGATAGGAGGGATATATATATATATATATGGATATATGTAGGGATAGCAGGGAGGGAAAGGGGTTATCATAGGATGATATGAACTCATCTATGTGAAACTTTTGAAAATTGTAAAGCACTCTAGAGTTTAAAGACTCTTTTATTCAATTAAAAAATAAATTAAAAAATCTCAGTTAGGGACTTCCCTGCAGTCCAGTGGTTAAGACTCTGTGCTTCCACTGTAGGGAGCACCAGTTCAATCCCTGGTCAGGGAACTAAGATCCCACATGCTTCATGGAGAGTCCAAAAGGAAAAAAAAGAAACAAACAAAACCCACTCCAAAAAAACCCTTAATTAAAAAGCTAAAAAAAAAAATAAAATGTATGATAGAAAAAGGAAATCAGTCCACCTTTGCAGCTGAGGACTGGAGGTGACGCAGCCTGCCCGGGAACCTCCTAACCCTCCTCTCTCTGCTCCTCTAGGCAGCTGGAAATCCGCTCTCCAGATGCTAAGCACACGGTGGTCCTCAGAGGCAAGGACTCCGCCACAGCCCAGGCCTGGTTCAGCGCCATCCACGCCACCGCCCGGGACCTGATGGCCCGCGTGATCACCGAGGCGCGGGAGCAGCTGGGCTCGACGGGCCTTGCTGGGGGCCGGGAGATCAGGCACCTCGGCTGGCTCGCAGAAAAGGTGAGGAGACGTTCCCGCCCAGGCGGCCTCCCCAGGCCTCCCCAGCGTGTGCGGCAGCCCCTGAGGTCGGCGCCTCGTTCCACAGGCTGAGTCTCTCACTCGGGTGTCTGGTCCGTCTCCAGCAGGTCTGCACCATGCAGGGCTGTGTGTCTTCAGCAACTTTGATTCCCCCACGGACAGTCCAGTATGTGGTAAAATGCAGGTGGTCACTCACTGGCTATTGTCTGGATGGATGAGTGAGCAAGCAGCCGGGGAGCTTGGTTCTCATATGTACATGGGAAGGGGAAGGGCAGGGGAAATAACTCAGAAGCACAATAGAACTGTCTCCTTGGCAGGTAAGGAGGTCAGAATCATTGCTTTAAAAAGGTATTTGTGTGGGTTTTGATGGACCTAACTGTTAACACAGATAGTTTGCAAATAAAGCAATAGTAATCTTGCCGGTAAGATCCTATGGACAGAGGAGCCTGGTGGGCTACAGTCCGTAGGGTTGCAGAGTCAGGCACGACTGAGCGGTTTAGCGCACACACATGCACCAGTGATGATAACAGCGAAGATTAGAGCGACTGCTCTGTGCGCGTTCTTCTCAGATACCATCTTTTATTAGTACTCTTAAGCCAGCAGGCTCTGAACGTCATCATTTCTGAGCACCTGTTTTGTGCAAGGCACAGTGCTGGGCAGGAGGGGACAGGTGTGTAGACATGAATGCAGGGAGGGCAGCTGCAAGGGAAAGGACCCCGGGTCATGGTAACACTGGCACTCTGACTTCTTTTCCCAAGGGATGTGGTATGTTGAAGATCATGAAGCTCACTTTGCAGCAGTCTCCTGGGAGTTACCCGTCCTCTTGGTCTCAAAGCTTTAAGCCTTTGCCATTGTCCTGGCCCCTGCTTGCTGTTCCTTGAACTTGACCGTGAGCGCTCAGGAACAGTGGGCCTCGGGGACAGTCTGACCGCCCAGTGACTCGCATTCTACTAGGCGGTAAACGGGGATCATGATTGTTGCAATAACAGCCTGTCATCTGAGAAGGCCTGGTTCAGTGGCACTTGAGCAGGGCATCTGGCTGTTTTCCACCATTGTTCTTTGTTTGCATCAGTTCATGTGTGGGTCCCAGCCACCGACTTCAACACAAAGTGTGCTGTTTGCTGTGGCATTGTCCCATCTCTCGCAGATTGTGAAGGACTAAAGGGACAGTGCAGGTGGTGGTGACACCGAGATCATAGTAAACAAAAGCCACAGGTCGTGTCTCGTGACCAGATGTGTGAGGCTTCTTGGTGAAAACAGCACTGCAAAGCTGGATGGCAGTGTTTTAGAAGCCACAGCCTCTCACCCTCTCCAATTTTACTCTCTCCAATCACATGTGTTTGTTTTAGGGGCAGTCCTGTCAGTCTGGGATCTTTCAGTTGCAAGTGACAGAAAGCTCAACTCGGCTTGAGCACAAAAAAGGGGACCTGGCACTTCTGATAACGACAGTGTCCAAGGGTGAGCTTCAGGACCGGTGGGCCCCAGGGCTCACAGAAGGCTAACGGGCCTGCATCTACATGTTTTTGCACCCTCTCCACTTTGTTGGTTTATACCCTAGCAAGCGCCCTTTTCTTTGGCCCAAGAGTTCCATCTTTGTCTGGGTGTTTTTTGTTTTGTTTTTATAGCTGGCTGCCTCAGTGAACAGAAGACTCTTTGCTCTCATATTTCCAACGAAAGTCCTAAGTCAGCCTTATCTAAACTGTGCCCCGATAGATAAGGAAAGGTAGTTCTGAAATGGAAAAGTAGGATACCGTGCAAGAGAAAGACTGAATGGATTCTGGGGAAGCAAAAACAACAGACATGTGCTGTAGAAGGGAATGGGGAGGAGTTGATCAGAACGAAAAACATCTTTACTGGGTTAGGATCCAGAGTGGATGCAGGGATGTGCTGTGTATGTTAGGGTCCGGCAGGAAATGGATGGCAAACTCAGAAGGGGTGACTGGACGGGATTCAATACAGCGACAGCTTATGAGTGTGGCCGAGACAGAGGAAATCAGGAGCTGAGCGGTAAGAGGTCACTGCCATCCTTTACCCGGAAGTGGCCAGGAAGAGGAGCAGCTACCTGACGCTAGCAAGACGTGCAGCTCTGGAAAAGGGCCACTCGCTGCGAGCTGTGGTCTCTTAGCAGAGGGACAGTCCCCGTGAATTCCTGCCTGCTGATCTCCTGCTGGTGTCTGCCTTGGGTTGAGGCTGCCTGGAAGCCAGAGGCAGGGGCCACAGACGCTCGGTTGAGGTCAGCCTCCCTGCTGCCCGAGCAGGGCAGCAGATGGTGGGGCCTGGCTCTGGAGGCAAGGGGAGGCTGTCCAGCACACACATCCCTGCACCTCACAAGTGACCAAGCTGCGGTCAACTCTAGAAGGTACTGTTCTCTCATCTCTTTTAGCACCAACTACAATTAAAACCATTACCATTTGGATAGTTGAAAAATAGTTATTATGTTGTTAGTAGTGATATTAGCATTTTTTCCAAAGGTTCCATTTTCTCACTTATAAACTGTCTGCTTATGCCTTTTGTTTATCCCAGATTATCCGTAGACCCATTAATCATTCCAATGGAGCAGTCATAAAGGTGCATAAAAAGCGTTCTGGTTTTAGAATATTGTTGTTCTTTTGATGTACTTTCAGGTCATCAGATGTTTCTTTAAATTGTATCATGCATTATGCCCGTAAAAGCAATCAGTAACGACTTATCATGGATAATTATCAGAAGGGAGAATGTCTTTTATTGCCTTCATCTTCAAAATTTCTGAAAAGATTACCATAGATCAAGTCCAAGGAAGCAAATCCAAACTGGAATTTTTTTGAATAAATATTTGATACTGAATTCTGATGTGGAGACATAAGAATGGTTTTTAGCAAAATGTTACAATGAATGGCAAATCCTTAATACTGTGGCTTTCTTATATTACCACAAATATCAGAGAATTCACTTGGTATTTGTAAAGATATAAAGTATGATCCTATATATATTCAGCTGTAATTTATCTTAAATTGATAGCCTTTGTCTTTTCCTATGCTGTTAATCTTTGATTTATTTTTTTTGGACTAATAACAGTAGCTCCAGGACAAAGTTTGTACATATTATATTCAATTTCAAGTTTTTAAAACTGGCATTTACATGAACTAAAACAATAGGAAGCAACAACAGTTTCCCTTCTAAAATTCTTTTCAGTGCAAATCCTCAAGCTTCCTCGTCACTACACAGAAGGAAAAGTTTGTATTAAAGTTACTCTTTACAGTGAGGTGATCCAGGGACCTGAAGAAATGATCGTGAGTTAGTGGGGAGAACTCAGTCATGCCCCGAGGAGAACGAGCATCAGAGAAAGGGAGGTGATGGCTTCTGGTGGCGCTGGGGGTAAAGGGACCCGCCTGCCAGTGCAGGAGATGGAAGAGACGCGGCTTCGGTCCCTGGGTCTGGAAGATCCCCTGGAGGAGGGCGTGGCAACCCCTCCAGTATTTTGCCTGGAGAACCCTATGGACAGGGGAGTCTGGCGGCCTATGGTCCGTAGGATCACAAAGAGTTGGACACGACTGAAGCAACTTAGCACTCAGAGGCTTACACTTTGTAGGGAGGGCAGAGCAGAGACTGGTCTAAAGGGAAGTGGGGTTATCCTGAGGAAGGTGATGAGAAAATCTGGTACCTTGGGTGGCTCCCAATTGTGGAAGGTCTTGAAAGCTGGACAGATGGTTTGAATTTGATTTGTTGGCCATAGGAAATCTTCATATACATAGTCAGAGAGAAGGGAACTTAGAGGTGACCTCCCTGGACTGAATGAATGTTTGTCTCACCTCAGAATCTGTAGACTGAAGCCCCAATTCCTAATGTGATGGATTTGGAGGTGGGGGCATTGGGAGGTCATGAGGTTTAGATGAAGTCGTGGAAATGGGTGGAGCTCCATGATAGGGCTGGTGTCCTAAGGGGTGAGGACCCCAGAGCAGTGTCTCTCCACCCCACGAAGATGCATCAAGCAGGGAGGCTTCTCCAAGCCAGGGAGACGACCCTCACCAGAACCCCGTGTTGGCACCCTGGTCTTGAAGTTGCAGCCTCCAGAACTGTGAGAAATAAGTGTTTGTTCTTTAAGCCATCCAGTGTATGATAATGTATTCTAGCAGCCTGAACCAAGAGAGTGATCAAACACGCCTCTTCTTTCTAAAGATGAGGGATCTGGGACCCGGAAAATGGAAGGTCTCTTATTTACGGCCACACTCTCATAAATCAAGGTGCAGGAATAATGAGTGAATGGGAGAATGCGGTGGTTTCATTGTCTCCTTTATTTAATTTGTAAAGAGTCTAGTGCAGCTCTTGCATCGCGGTCACTTCGCCTCTCCCCCTGGGCTCTGGTGGCCGTTCTCTGAGCTGCAATCAAGTCAGCCACGCCGCCCCCCAAACGGGGCCGTTACCGAGTCCCCTTGACATCCTTGGGCCTGTGAGCTGTGGGCCGTGGTGACGGGGCCGCTGCTGTCCCCCTGGGTGCTGTCGTCTGTAGATGGGCCAGGGGCACCAGCAGAAACATCTTTCCCGCCATCAAATTAGCCTCAAACCCTTTAACTCCTTGCAAGCCCCGCTTGCCCCATAAGTGCTCATCTCTACCCTGAACTATAAAACACATTATACCCCAAATAAATTTTTTGAATCATCATTCTTTAGGTAGTCTTTTTATGGTTATTACTGAGGTGTCTTTAATGGTCCTATTTCGGACAAAAGAAAAATAAAGAGAAAATAAAACAATGATTAATAAAGGAAAAACAGAAAAAAATTAAGTTCTGACTCGCTACTTAAAAAAACAGTAATAAGCAAATACATGGCAGAATTGTTAAATTCTGTTTTGTGCTCAGTTTATCAGGTATTGTCTTTACTTTTACCTTGTTATCTCAGTTTGTAAACTATTTCTTGTCATATTAAAAACAAAACAGAAATACAACATGGTTTAAAAAAAAATAACCCAGTTGAGAGCTCTGAGATGCAGTTCAGTTCTCAACTTC